TTGAGCTCACTTTGTAGCCCAGGCTGGTCTCGAGCTCTCAATGATCCTCCTGCCTCAGCCTCCCGAGTGCTGGGATTACAGGCGTGCGCCACCACTTCCAGCCGCAGCCTTCTCTCTTGCTGGTTTGTTTCCTTCTGATTCCTTCTGGACCACTGCAGCCTGGTTTTGGGCCCCGAGCCTCAAACCAGCTGTGATTTAAGGCCACAGAGGCAGCCACGGGGCCCCTCCAGCAGACAGGTCTGTGTGATCATGGATGCATCCACACGCCCATGGAGCTAGCATTTTCATTTGACTGTGCTCCTGCCACCATATGGGAAAAGCAGGATGCATCTTAAATTGCTTCTGACCCATGCCAACCTCCTGTTCCCCTTCAGCTCCACACTGCAGGAAATAGCTCTCCACTTGCCTAGCTGTGTTGCACCAACAGCCTAGCTTCTGGTTTTGAGACAAGGTCCCACTATGTAGTTTAGGCTGGCCTTGAATTCACACGATCTTCCTGCCTCAGCCTCCCAGGGGCTGGGATTACAGGCAAGTGCCACCATGCCTGGCCAGTAGCTTGGTTTCTCTTGGCAGCACTGGGGATGGAACCCAGGGCCTTTGCACTGAGTTACATCCCCAGCCCTTTTTCATTTAAGCCAGGATCTCACTAAATTCCCCAGGTGGGGCTCAAACTTGTGATCCTCCTTCCCCAGCCTCCCAGAGTGCTGGGATAACATGACAACTTGGTTCTACAGACTGTTTTATCTCACATCTCAACAGCAGACCAGGGCTAGAGTCCTTCTCCTCAAAGCGCTGCATGGCTCGCTTCCCTCCTTAACACGATCTCTAACTCCAGCACCCCCTCAGCCCTTCCACGCTGGCCCAGTCTCCACCCCTCATGCCCTCCCGCCCCCACTGGGCAAAGGCCTGCTGCAGTCCCTTTGCACTGGCTGTGCCCACTGCCTGGACTGCTGTTTCCCTTGTGTACCAACTTGGATGCCCCCGACTCCTGAGGTCCTAGCCTATCACCTGTGCCCATCACCCTGTCAGTGCAGCCCCCCGTGACCACAACACCTGCGCCATAAGACCCTCACCCGCCTGGCTCCTTCCGGACGTTCCCACTATCCACCCACAGGACGGCGCACCCTTGCACCCAGCTGTGAGGTTTTCGGTGTCGCCGCCTGGGACGCAGCTGTGCTCTGGGGCGTTGGCTGAAGGAAGGGGTGGTGCTCGGGTCTGGGAACCCACACCTCTCCCTGCTGAAACGCAGCAGCAAGCGGAGGCGCCGCAGGTGCAGAACAAGCCCTGCAAAGATTTAATTTAAATCACAGTGTCTCAGCCAGGCTGCCCCGCCTGCCCGGGCACCCCCACAGTTCCTCGAGGGCCCCTGCCAGCTCAGCAGCAAGGGGCCAGCAGGGCTGCAGCCCAGCCCCCAGTTCCCCGGAGAGGTGGTCTGGCTCTCAGGTGCTGGCCGGCGCAGGAGGCTCTGTGGGCGCGACCGTGGGCTCCTTCTGCACCAGTTCCGGCTCGTCCTCACCGTCCTGGGGCGGGTGGACCAGCACCTTGTCCAGGATGCCAAACTCCTGGGCCTCCATGGGGCTCATGTAGCGGTCCCTCTCCATCGCCGACTCTGGTGGGGGGAAGCAGAGGCAGAACACATGGCAGTAAAAGCAGAGACCGAAAGCCAGGTATAGTGGCACACACCTGTGATCCCAGCACTCGGGAGGCTGAGGCAGGAGAAGCACCAGGAGTTCAAGACCAGTCTGGGCTACATAGTGAGTTCACCGCCAACCTGAACAACACAGTGAGGCCCTGTCTCTAAAAAAAGAAAAAAGCAGAGACCAGGCCAGGCTTGGCACCTGCAAGCCCTACCTCCCAAGGGGTGCGGTCCTTGGAGGTGGGGCCTGGGGTCACGAGGGTCACACGAAGTCTAAGCCGTGATGGTGCTGGTGCCCTGCTCAGAAGGGGAAGACTACCCCGTGGGCTGAGGAGACCGTGTGAGGGCGCAGAGACAGGCAGCCACCTGCAAGCCAGCAGGTGCCTCACAGCGCCAGCCCCGTCAGCCCCCGACGCCGGCTTCCAGCCTCCAGAAACGTGAGATCAAATGTTTGGGCGACCCCGCCTGTGGTATTTCGTTTCTGCAGCCTGAGCGGAGACAGATCTTCATTCTGCCAATTCTTCCTCCTGCCACAATGGCCTTACTGTCTCTGCGCCTCAGTTTCCCCATCAGTAAAATAGCTTTTTTTTTTTTAAAGCAGTGCTAGGGATGGAACCGAGGGCCGCACATACTAAGTTAGTGTCTCCCGCTGAGTTACACCAGCCCTTACTATTTCTGCTGAACTGCCCAGGACTGGTTGCCGGG